AGGTGCCCAGAGGAGCTGGGGCTGCCCCTGGATCCCTGGCAGTGCCCAAGGCCAGGCTGGATGGGGCTTGGAGCCACCTGGGACAGTGGGAGGTGTCCCTGCCATGGCAGGGGTGGCACTGGATGAGTTTTAAGCTCCCTTCCAACCCAAACCATTCCATGAGTCTGTGATAAGCTCCTTTAAGGGCCAGCACAGCTCTTTCACCTGCTCTTGGAAATCATTTTGGATGCCCCTGGATCCCTGGAAGTGCCCAAGGCCAGGCTGGACAGGGCTTGGAGCCACCTGGGACAATGGGAGGTGTCCCTGCCCATGGCAGGGTTTGGAATGAGATGCTCTTTAAACTCCCTTCCAGCCCAAACCATTGTGTGATTCCATGATATACTTCTGTTAATATTAGTGTAGGCACAGCTTTTGAAATCCTTCTGGCACTTGCTGGCCCTTGAAATGTGCCACCCTTTTGTTTGGCTCCTTTGAGGTCACCACCTTGATCTCACCTCCCTCTTTCCAAGAGGACTGTGGCACTCCTGTCCATCACAGAGCTGGAGTTCTGCCCCACACCTGCCTTAATCACACAAAGATTTGTGAATTCTCTGTTTGAACCTGGTTAGGAATGACCCTGCTCATCTCTGTGATGCTGCTTTACCAGTTTGTTGACATTCCCACCAGGAAGGTGAGAAAGTTTTTTTGCCATGTCCTTTCAACTCTTGGATTGATAACAAACCATTTTGTAGCATTCCTTCATGTTAGTTATGGATGTGGGTTCCTGCAAACCTCTGACATTGCCAAACGGGCTTTTTTTATTTCTTTCTTTGCAACCCTGCTCTCCACTGAAAGAAAAGACACTCTAGATGTGTCAGGAAATTCCTTTGTTGTACTGATGACAGCCTAATTCTATCTTTAGCCTCAAATTCTGGAATTGCAAGGCCCAGCCTTCCCTTTATGAGAACAGGGATGACCTGGAGGAAGAACTTTCCTAGCAGCAAGTTTGTTGTTTCCACTCTGAAACGATGTTAATTGATCAGCTCAAAGATACAACTTCTCCTTACAAGTCTCGCCTTTCTGAGGGGAGGAAGAAACTTGCCAAAAGCTAAATATAAACAAGGTGCAGTGGAAAATGCACATGTGCCTGCTGTGGGGGTGTGAAGTGATGTCTCCCTTCCTAAAGCAGCATGAGCTGCAGGTTAAGGGAGTTCACTGAGAGTTGTAAATCTACACCCTGGTTCCTCCTGGTCATGAAAGATGATTCCCAGGCTCTGCCACTGGATCTCAGGATGGCACAGGGTGCCCTGTGAGCTGGCAGGTGCAGCCCCTTGTTGCAGGCATCTTTTATGGAAAATCCTTTCCTTAGGATTGTTCCTCCTGAGAAGCTGAGAGGCCTCAGGAACAAAATGTAAGCATTGGTTATCTGCTGCTGTGGAATGCAACAGGTGGATCTGTGATTGGTCTCATATTGGTTGTTTCTAATTAATGGTCAATCACAGTCCAGCTGGCTCAGGCAGAGTCCGAGCCACAAGCCTTTGTAAATCATTCTTTCCTATTCTATTCTTAGCCAGCCTTCTGATGAAATCCTTTTTTCTGTTCTTTTAGCATAGTTTTAATGTAATATATATCATAAAATAATAATCAGCCTTCTGAAACATGGAGTCAGATCCTCGTCTCTTCCCTCATCCTCAGACCCCTGTGAACACGGTCACAGCCCCTCTGCACATCCAGGCTCCCTGCAGCACTGCTCACACCTTCCACTGCTTGGGCTACAGCAGGGAGGCAGCTCTTGCAGCACAGCACAAGGTTCTCCTCTGTTCCCAGGCTACAAATACTCCTCCAAGTGACCAATGCCTCAGGAACCTGGAGGCTTCTTGGAATTTTTACTGCAGGTGCTTGCAGGAACGTCTGACCTGAGGGCAGGTAAAACCTGTTCCCCTGTGCCATGCACACAGCTCCTCCCTGTGCATTACAAATCATCTCTGCTGTCTAATCCTCATTCTTTTCTCTTCCCAGCACAGTGTAAGTGCTCTCCTGGGATTGCTTTCAGTTCTGGGAGGCAGGCAAGAAGCCAGTGGCAAAGGAGAAAAGCTTTTCTAGTGGAGGCAGATTTTTAACCCTTAGGTCTGATAGGAGCTGCACAAATCTCTCACTTCTTGGTGTTTTGGGTCTCCTGTTATAATAACTCTAGGTCTGATAGGAGCTGCACAAATCTCTCATTTCTTGGGGTTTCAGGTCTCCTGTTACAATAACTCTTGTCAACTTCACAGATTTGTTTGAGACATTTGCTTGATTTATTTATTTTTATAATATGTGTAATTAATGAAGCCTCTTTGGGGTTCTGTCCTCATTGCATTTGATCTCTCTGGTGTCTCACAAACATACTTTTCAAGCTGTCATTGAATCCTTTACATTTCATATCTTCTAACTTGGGGTTTAAATAGGGTGAAGAAGGTGGCTCTTTGTCCTGGCCATGCCATCTCCATCATTCTCCTCAAACTTTGATGCCACTTGGGCTTTCCCTTGCCCTTCTCTGAGTGCACAATCCCCCTGCAGTTTTCACTAACAGGGATCAGACTGAGGACATTGTATAAATTGTGGCCAGTATCAGATGAGAAGTTGCCTGGAACCCTGAGGAGTGTTGTTCCTGTGCCAGACTGTGAACCCTCCTAGCTCAGAAAGTGTCTTTTCCAAGCAATTGATTGTTCTGCCAGGAGATTACACATAGCCAGTCCTTTTTCTTTTGGGCTGGTGATCATTTGGATTTACTGGTGCCACACATCAGTGAGCAAAATCTAACTGGCAGTGTTTGCCTCTTATCCCAAACTTGTCTTTTTTGATTGTTGTGATCATTTCAGCATTCTTGTGCAAGCTTTAATACCCCTTCCCTTCCCTTCCCTTCCCTTCCCTTCCCTTCCCTTCCCTTCCCTTCCCTTCCCTTCCCTTCCCTTCCCTTCCCTTCCCTTCCCTTCCCTTCCCTTCCCTTCCCTTCCCTTCCCTTCCCTTCCCTTCCCTTCCCTTCCCTTCCCTTCCCTTCCCTTCCCTTCCCTTCCCTTCCCTTCCCTTCCCTTCCCTTCCCTTCCCTTCCCCTTGGGTCAGGTTCTGGATGTCATCCTTCAAGCTTCTGCTTTCATCCATAAAACCTTAATCAAGCACTTTTTGTAGTGTCTCTGCCTAATCCAAGCTGACTTAGGCCATGGAAAAGTTAATTTGTGGTGTTGGGTGTTACTTATGTGATGAAATGAAAATCTCAGAGGAGAGAACTCTGCCTCATATGACATCAGCTTTCCAGTGAGCTGTTTAAAAAGCTGGATTCTTTTTTTCTTGTAAAGCTGTGATGGGCCATCATTTCAATACTAGTAAATATTTCTGATGGTGAGAACAAACTTCCTTTTATAGTATCCACAAGCTGCTGTTTTTACTGAGTCCAGCCTGGAGCTGGTTCCTATTTCTGAGTGTTGGCTCACACTCAGCAGCTCCTGGTGTTCACGTGCTCTGTCTCCCTCTGTTTCTCTCTCAGCTTTTTTAGCCTTGTTGATCTATTATTGTGACTTTGGCCAGACGACGCCAGCTTGCAGCATTTAATGGGCTGGGAGAGCAGCAGCTTCCTCTGCCTGTGAGACCATGATGTCATCAGCTACTTTGGGTTCTTTCACCATCCTGATGCTTCGGTGGATGTGGAAAGAATGCAAACAGCACTTTCCAGATGTTCTCAGGGCAGCTGGAAAACCATACATGGATTGTTTGCTTGGGGAATATTGCTGGTCTGTTTAGGCTCAGCAGTGAGAAGGGTGATGAAAACACAGCTCCTGTGCTGTCAGGTGTCTCACAGAGGGTTGTTGGGGTGTTTGGTGATGGCACAGCTCATTCAGGACTTGAGCTGGGCACCTGAAATATCTTCCTACCTGCTCTCCATTCCCTCTCCTCTTTCCTTCCTCCAGCTTCAGCTCCTGAGTGAAGCACAGGATCCTCCTGACGTCCTGCAAGGCAAATGCTGTTTTGTTCATGCAGTTCCTCAGAGTTACCTCAGCAGCTGAAGATAAAGAAAAGAACAGTTATCTAGTTTTTAAACTCCCAATAAAATACTTGATGCAGTAGGAGCTACTGAATAAACACAGGGGTGTTTCATCTTGGTGCAATGTGGACTGGGAATTTGGAAGACCTCTCCAGGGCTGGAAAAACCATCAGCTCTCACCCACTTGTGGCATATCCAAAAAAGTCTATTTTTAGGGAGAAGCGGTCACTTCCTTCTTTAGGGTGGGTGGGTGGGTGTTTTTAATGCATTAATTAATTTTTATTGAGTGATGGAAAAGCTGATGTCAGAGCTGCATTGTGGTTGGGCGTGCAGGAGCACAGGGTGGTAGGAAATAACACAGCTAACACATGAGGGCAGGGAGAGTTTAACCATGGGCAGTTTAAAATAGCCAAGCTGAGCCCTATGGATATTAAAAACTATGACTGAATCAAAACAACCATCTAATACTAAGCTGGACTTAGCTGGGGGAGGAACAAACCTGTTGGGTTAATTTCTGTTGTTGTATCCAATGTCCAAGTGATGTTTTTTGGTCTCAACACCTGGATTTCTGACTTAGGGGTTGGTTATCTATTTTTGGCTTTGCAGGATATAAATGACAAGGGGCAATACAGGTTGTGTTTTACTGGGTTTTTTATTCAGGAGTCTGTAGAGTATCCTTTTCTTTTTACAGTGGTCTATAAACTTGTCCAGCATGACTTCTTGCCTGGCTGCTCTCACAGTTCAGATTGCACAGATCCACAGCAGGGAGGTGGGGGGAAATGCTTTGGAAATGGGAGCCAAGACAGAGCACAGTTACATAATTGTACAAAAGAAAAGGGTTGTTTTTTTTGTTTTGTTTTTCCTTCCCATATCCTCCTGCCTACTGAAAAAATGTTGTTGGAAAGCTGGATGGAAAAAACTTCAGCATCGTTCATCCCTGTGGGGGCATGAAATGTATTGAAATGTTCCACCTGTTTTATGGCTGGTGCTTTTCCTCTTTCAGGTTTGACATCTACAGGAAGGTGCCAAAAGACCTTACACAGCCAACCTACACAGGGGCCATTAGTAAGTAACTTCTTTTTGATGTCCTTGCATAGCCCTGGTCTAAAATTAAAGATTGTTTGGCCTCTCTGTCTGCAGGGAATTCTTTTAAAGGGATGGTAAGCGTTGGAAAGGGTGTCCTTTGTTGCTGAGGCAGCTTGTTCTGCCCATCAAACACTGGAATGGTTTGTGTGAATTCAGAATTGAAGCATGGTTTGGGTTGGAAGGGGCCCTAAAGAGCCTCCAGCTCCAACCACTGATAGGGATCCACTCTCACTCCCATGTATCAATCCACAGACTTTGGCTGATACACATCTCTTGCCTTGGGCCCCTTTTCCTTCCTTCCTGCTCCTGAGGGAGGCTGGAGGCTGAGTAATGCCATTTCACACAATTATGTGCAGCGAGCTGGCTGGGCAGAGGGCTTGGTAAACATTGATCAGGCTGAGCCTGCCAGGCCTGTCATTACCCTGCTCATGCAGCTTTCCTGTCCCTCTGAGCAGGGACTTCCTTTGATCAGGGAGCTGTGCCCCACTCAGCCATGCTGGGAGATGGGTCAGTAGTCTTGTGTGTCATTGCTGACGTGAGTGATGTCACATCCCTTGGTGACAGCACGCAGGTCTGAGTCAGTGCCAGTGAATCAGGACACAAAGGAAAGCCCTCTGTGAGCTGGAGAAACTCCTGCCTGTGAGCATGGCTGAAGAACAGGCTGGTGTGGAGTCTCTGTCCTTGGGGATGCTCCAAACAACCAGAGCTGGCCCTGAGCAACCTGCTCAGAGCAGGGCAGTTGGATGGGATGGGCTCCAGAGAGTCCCTGCCAGCTTCAACTATCCTGTGCTTCTGTGAAGATAACACATTTCCCTAAATATTTACTCTCAGAGTCCTTGTCCCCTGAGTTCTCTTGGCCACTGAATTACTTGTATCCCAACTCCCATGTAGGTTTGCTGAAGTTGGGAACAAAGAGCTTGACTCAAACTGTTTGGGAATTCAGGGGCGGATGAGATTTGGTGTTTTGAAAGAACACTTTGAACTTGTGAGTGATCCTGCCTTCTCTGCTGTTTTGGAAACTAAGAGTTCCCACACTGCCACTGGGCTCCCTTTGAGAATTTGTCTTGTTATGAATCACCTGCAAAAGAGTATTTTAGAAGCAAAAAAAAACCATCAAAGGCCACCAGGGTTTAGGCTTTCAGATCTGCAGTAAACAGCTCAAGTGATAAGTCTGTTGTGGGAAGGCTTCAAGGTTGTGACTCTTACTTACAATTATTAGCTGACTTCTCTCTATTGTTATTTACAGCTTCTCAGGCTTTGATTTTCTTCTCTAACTGGTTCTCCTTCTTTTTCTCACAGTGTTTTTAGGCAGCCTGATAGAAGCTTCTGAACCACACAGGCAGCCAACAAACTGGTGCCTTTGCCTGAGAGGATCTTGTGAGCAGCTTTTCTAATGGGCTTTCTTCTGTCTGACCAAGCCTGTGGCTTGTAATTTGAAAGCCACTAATCTTAGGTGTTGTAGGGGGCCATGGGTGAGACCAGCCCATTGCCAGGCCAGTTGGAAGCCTGGGAAGGTTGCATGACCTGGTGAAAAATTGCTTTAGGGAAGTCAGCTTGTGTTAACACTGGGAACTTGAGTGCAGGGGAAGGTTCTGCCTCTCAAAAAAGCTTTCAGGCTTTAGTAATCATGTGGAATTACTATGACTGCAGCTTTATTTTGGCTTTCTTAAAGTCCTCCAAGTTTTACAGAGCAGATATAAAATAGTCCATGATATCCAACTATTAATTTAGGCCTTTTCCATATGATTTCTGCTGAAACTTTAGTTCAGTATCACTTCTGGTGCTGAAGGCTTTCTGGAATAGGAAAGGACTTACTGCAGGGTTTCAACAGTGACTTTTGGATTGTATAAAGGTCTATTTTCAAAAACAAAGATTGAGGTTTATTAGGGAACAGATCAGATTACAGAAGAAAGGAGATGGAGAAGAAAAGGTCTGCTTCTCACCAGGGCTGAAGGGGCCAAGGCTTTCAGGGAAGAAGCAGCTAAGGGAGAGGAAGTGTTGGGGGATTTTGAGGGAGAAGAGCAGGTGGTCTTGAACATGAGCAAGCTCAGAAGCCAGCTGGAGTTATTGAGGCTTTATTAGGTATGGATTTTGAAATCCCAGATTTGCAGTGAAGGCTGTGTACAAGATCCTTCAGATCTGTGTGGCAGCCACTCAGCTACAAACAAGTTTTTTAGGAATGAAGGAACCAAGAATTTACTTGGAGTGAGGTTTGTCCAGAGCAACACAGCCACTGCTGTGGGCTTCTTTGGGAGCTGTGTAGAAGTCACTCATTCCTTTTCCTCAATAAAGGTCCCTTCTTCGGGCAGCATCCCCGTCGTGCTGTTGTCTCTCTTCCACCAGTTTTTCCAGGTCCTCCCACCGTGTGTAGCATGTCTGTGGTGCCTCTGTGACAGACATGGTGACAACCTGGCCATGTTTGGGTACAGAGGCAGCGGCAGCAGCACTCCTGGCTGCCTGACAGTTGGCATCTGGCTGGACAGGAGCTCTGGGGCTCTGGAGAGGAGCCTGCAGGCCAGGCAGCTGCTGGCACCCTCCTGCTCCCCAGCCATCGCTGTGGATGCATAGTTTGCATGCACATGTTGTATGCACACATGGAAATGTTATCCAGAAATACTCTGTGCTGTTTGGGGGCTGGAGTTTTAAATACACATCAGGAAATATCCGAGTTATGATTCACATGGCGCCTGTAACAGGACCCGTTCCTTGTGCTTCGTAACAGTTTGCTCCACTGAATAATAAATACTATTAATTTTATGCCTTAATATAGACATGGCTCCATGTTCTCAGTCTGTGTGATGTGTTAAACACTTTGACTTTCTCTCATTTCTCCTGGGGTGGGGAGGCAGGGCCAGGAATGTACGCAGCCGGGGTTTGGAGTGGAAGGGATAAGTACAAAAAGGTTAGTGCAGGAATAAAAACCTTGGCAGAGTTTCCCATCCTTTTGGGATTGCAGATTAGCAGTGTGTCTACACCAGCAACCTTTGATACATTGATCATGTTATCATATTAGAGCTTTAAAAAACCTGTCTCAGATGTTGTTGGAGCTCTGTGGGAACGTCGCCGTGCTCTTGCAGCTAACGAAGCTTTATGCATGAATTGTTTGATTCTGTCTGATCCCAGCCTTTAATCTACTTTTCCAAATATAATATAATACACTTGTCAAATGTGGGTGGTAGGACTGCACATTTGCATGGAAGCAGGTAAAAGCCCTCACCGTGAAAGAAGCAGCTGAAGCACCCCGTGCATAAATTCCTGTGCTGGGAACGTCTGTGCCTGCAGCTCCAGGCTGAGAGAGGAGCTCCTGTTCTGCAGCTGAGGAAATGCTGCCTCTGGAGAGAGTAACTGATAATGCTGGCACCTGAGCCTCATGCCAAAAACTCCCCCTGCCCTGGAAATGTGTGTGTATAGGAAGAGTTGAACAGTGCAGTGTCCTCTGTCCCAGAGTGTGCTGCAGCAGATGCCTGAGAAGGAGCAGGAGGGGCAGGTTAAACACTGCACCAGGCTTTGCTCAGTAGGCTCCTGAGCTTCCTAGGCTGGAGTTGGTTCCTTTGTGTTTGGTATCCCTCAATGGATTTCTTCCTCAGAGCATGTATGATTCCTTTTTGTAATCTAACAGGTTTTATTTCTTATGCAACCTCAGCATCTGTAGTCAAGAATCCTCAGAATTTAGTTGTGTAAAGGAAAACCTTCCCTTGTTTTTAACCTCCCCTTTCCATGTAGTTCCCATACTGGAAGAGACAGTGAGTGATTGTTCCCCACTCACCTCCTTCAGGCTGCTCATGATTTTATATCCCCCTCTCATGCCCACCTTCAGTATTCTCTTTTACAGCTTCAAAACTGACTCTGTGGTTTGAGAACTGGGAAAAGCATTGAGGAGCTTTGAAAGTCAGTCCCTGCCAGGCACTTCAGGGCATTCTTGCAGGGTTTTTTAGATCCAGGTTAGTGGAATTTTACTGTGCTGTGTTTGGTAAGTATTGTCACGAACCTTCACTGCAAGAGCTGAACTGAAAATGGACTTGAGGGAGCAAGTACTGGAAAAGAAGGAGGTATTTTGATTATATAAGTGGCAGAGAAGGAAGTTTAAAAACTGGAAGAGAGAGGAAGCTGTGGGAGAGAATTTAGTTAAGAGAGTTAGTAGTAGCAGGCTTTCCTAGAAATGCTTGAGAGCAGAGAGGTCTGGCTGATGCTGTGGAAAGCCTTTATGGGATTATAAAAAGCAGCAAGGAATATGGGAAGCAATTAAAGAAAAAAGGGTTGTCTACGTCAAACACTCTCCCTGCAACTGCCAGAGATCAGAGATCTCGTGTCTCTCTGTCAGTGATCAGCACTACAAACACTGGATCTGCTCATGTGCTGCCTTGCTTTCTTTTTTTGGGCTCTTATGTAGGTGTGGATGTTCTCACAAGAATTTGCTGCTGTGCTTTAAGCAGAGCTTTCTCCTGGTGCCCTGTGCCAGGGCTCAGCTGGGTCTCAGCCCTGGTCACCTTCTGTGTCCTGGCAGCCAAGACTTGGGAGCAGCTGTGTGCCCATCTGAGGTTTCTCTTCAGGATTAATATCCCTTCTTGCTTCCTGGTTTCCTACTGGTCTTTGGGGTTTTTTCCTCTCTTTCCTCATCCTAGCTAGTGAATAATAAAGCACTGGAATGCCCTTCCCAGGGAGGTGGTGGAATCACCATCTCTGGATGTGTTTAAAAAGACTGGAGGTGGCACTTGGTGCTATAGTCTGCTTGAAGTCTTAGGGCATAGGTTGGACTTGGTGATCTTAGAGGTCTCTTCCAACCTCATTATTCTGTGATTCTGTGATTTTTTGGCGTCTGTTAATCCCTTGCACTTTAGAGTGGGCCAATAAATGAATCCACAGTTGAAATTACTCTGATGAGGAAGGGGAAGCAACGCATTTCTCTTTCCTCAGAGCTGGAAGAATGAGGCACAAGGCTTTAGGTCACTCAAGGCTCTGTCTCAGTACTTGCCCTCAGCACCTCTTTCCTTCCCTTGCCTCTCACAATCTTTACCAAGGGAGTGATAAAATTGTTCCCAGCCTGTTGTTACTTGAGCTTCCCAAAGGAATGGGCAGTCAGGCTGTGCAGGTCATGTGGAATAAAGTTGAGGAATGTGGCTTTTTTTGAAAAAAAATGTATTTCTCAACCCTAATTAGTGGTCATTTCACAGAGGGCTGTGCTGGGATGGAGGGGTTGTGCTGGGATTGTGCTCTGGCTGTCAGTCAGTTCCTGCTTTGCCTTTCTGTGAGTGATTTGTGGTGAATTTGGGTATTGTATTTAACACAGGGACACACTGCAGCCCTGTCCCCTTGAGCTGGCCCATCCTTGCCTGCTCCAGTCATCCCTGATCCAGAGGATTTACAGCTGTGCTTCCTTCCAGCCCCTGCTGTGTGGGTGACTGTCACTGCTGCTTCAATGTCCCTGCTCAGGGGTTGGAATAATTTCCTGGTGAAGAGCAAACAGTAAAATTCCAGCAACTTTGGGTTCCCTCCATGCAATTCCAGGTTGGAACTCCTCGGAATTGTCTTCTGGCTACCTCACAATTCCTTCAGTGGGGATTTTCCCTCTCTGCAGGGTCAGCAAATGGAGAAATGAGAGAAGTCAGGCACTGGCTGCACAATTCCAGTGTTGCCATTTCTTTGCTGTCCAGCTCTGAGGTGCTTTACACAGAGCTTTGGAACCTGACAGAGCCAAAATGTCTCCTCATCCCCAAAACACAGTGTGAGGGGACTGTGTCCTTTCAAAGCAAGGAGGTGCTGGTTCTTTCTGCCTTCTGGAGGTTTTAATAGTGATAAAATTGGGAGCCAAGGCTCCAAAGAAGTGATGTTGTCAAGAAGAGGGAGTGCTGGCAGACCAGCATTGTGTGCTGAAAAAGGAGAATGTGGGAAGATGGAATTCATGACAGAAAAAAGTGGCCCAAAAGTGGAAGATATTCCTGTTCTGGGTCATTAATTATTAAGCCAAGGGATTCTCATATTTTCACTGCAAGAGGCAAAGAAATTAAGATGAGGGTTTTCTAGATAATCTTGCCTGTGAGCAGAATTAAGACATGCCTTTGGGAAGTCCCAAGGATGGGGATGCAGTGGTCAGGATTTTATGTGAATGTGAGGGGGTTTTATTTTTTTTTTCTTGTCTACAGAATCTTTTGGTGTTTGCTCAGTGGGAAAGACACAAGTTTGATATTTATGCATTCATAAAATAATTGAATTTTTAATGGTTCCACAGGATGTTTGGATATTGGCATGGCATTGAAGTCACTGCTCTGGTGGGCTCCTCTTGGTCATGGACTCTAAAAATTGTTCATTCTCAGTTGTGCATGGGTGGCATATCCATAGGGGCAGTGATAAGGCTGTGTGAAAACAGTTTTTGTCTTTGTTACACATACAAAACTAACCTTTTCCTCTCCTTGCCTCTGTTCCAGTCTCTGTCTGCTGCTGTCTCTTCATATTGTTTCTCTTCCTGTCTGAGCTCACTGGATTCATAGCCACTGAAATGTAAGTAAAAGTCATGTTTTCCCCTGTTTGTGTGCATGTGAATCTTTACAGCTTTACTGTTATCTGAGAGAAATATTCCTGTAATTTCACTAGGTCATTTAGTTGCCTAATGGGTTTGGGATTCCTTTAGGTTGAGTCCAAATTCTCAGACAATCATTCAGCTTTTTAATTTGCCAAAATTAATAGGCAAACTTGGTTCTGAACTATTTTTGATAGAGGAAGCTGTTCCAGACTTGCTTGATCCTTTATTAGCTGCATGCTGGATTGCATAATTAGCAGCATGGAGAAATGGATTGCATAAAATAAGAATTATTAATTTAATATCAATAATTGCTTTTTTTTTATGATGTCAGAGCTGAATCTCTGATTCATGCGGGTAGTTTTATTAATGTGTGAATTTTCCTTCTTTTGTTGAGCCTTACTAGGAAACCTTATTCACAGGTTTTGTGTCTGAGGACAAGTTGCCCCAGGTGGTGTCAGCTGTGAGAAAATGGAAATAATTTCTACTTTTGAAAATTATTCATTGAACAAGTATGAAGTACTTATTAACACCGAGTTAATCAGAATTTTATTTTTTCCCTCCTGTTCTCATCTTCTTCCTGCCTCAAAGTAAACTTTTAGTGACTCTTAACACATCTACCTTTGTTTTGGGCTCTAGGAAACCTTCTCCATCACCCTGCTGATGTGGCAGTGAGCTCACTGAGTGTGAGGCACAGTTCCTGGGCAGTCGGGAAGGGTGGAACTTCTGTCAGGCTCACATGATGGTCCTGATAGCAACAGATGTCAGTGCTGAGCTAAAAGGCTCTGAAACCTTGCTTAGATTGACCATTTTGATAACCAAGAGGCTCTTGCATTGTTTTTGTGCAGCTCTGTCTTGGATCAAGAGTATAATTTCAGGAATAATGTTAAGGTTGACTAATGTTTAACTGAAGGCAGGAGTGTAATCAAGCTCGAGATCGTTTTTTGTGCCTGTTGCACGTTTACTTCAGAGATGGTATCTCACATTTCTTGCTTGCTCACAGTTTCTTTGACTTCAGTTCTGTGTGTTTGCTTGTGAAATCCGGGGTCACCTTATCAGCCACTTCACAGAGCTGAGTTTCCTTGGGTTTCTTGTTTTAAAAAACAGAAAAGCCAGACAGGCTGCTTCAAGTAAAGCACTGCTTTTTTCTTGCTCTCCTCATAGATCTCATTCTCTTGTCTAGTTTTCCTTTTTCTTCCAGTTAATGCTTTACAGGAGGAATTAGTAATATTTACCTAGTTTTGACCCAGTTATTGGAGAGCACATCTTTATGTAGTGGCAGTTTCCTGACCAGAAATTCCTTTTTGAACAGCACAATTGCATAACTCTGGGGAATCTCCTTGCTTTTTCCTTAAGAAGATGATGCATTTTCCACAGAAATGTTGGGAAGTGCTGTAAGCATGCTCAGCTGACAGGTTCCCCATTAAAACCTCAGAGAGATGGTGAAGTGCCTTTCCCAGCAGGAGCTGTGTGGGCTGGAGGTGTTTGCAGGCAATAAAGCAGTAAAGTTGGAGAGGGGATGACATACAAGAGTCTGGGACAAATGACTGCAGGAACCTGATTCGTCATGGACTGTCCAACACAAAAGCTCACACAAAAGAGGAGGAAAACCTCCTTCTGGTGAGTTACAAGTCACCAGACTCTTGCTGGGACTATTCACCCCCAGCAGTTGTGAAAAGGCTCTCCCAGAACAGCAGAAATACTTCAGAAAGTCACATCAAGTCCTTCCCAGTTCAGCGGCTTCGAAAGCAGGAGTGAACTTTTATTTTCCATTTCTTACTCATTGGTTTCTCTTCTGAGAAACCCAGTACAAGTTGTTGTGAGCCTCTTGTGGTTCCCTTTCAGTCAGGTATTACTGGCAGTGAGTTGTGAGGCAGCAGAGCCTCATCACTGGGAATAAGAATTGGGAGCTCTGCGTGGTTTGGAACTTGTGAGAGCTCTGTGCTGCCATTAAACTGGGTAATAGCTAATAACAGGGGAAATACTGTCTCAAAAAGGTTTCTGAGTCTTGTTTTCCCATGATCCAATACTTACAGATATATGGAAGATTCCTTATGTGCAAACTGTTCAGCCCTCATCAACTTTTATTGCGAGCTTCAAGGTGTTTTTTAATATTAAGAGTCTCCTACAACAGATACCTCACCCAGATTGAAGTTTCCCAATGCCAGCCAGGACCTGGATGATTACAGGTGTGCAGTTACATGGGATGAACTTTCCTGCTTTGTCACTGCCAGCTGGGCTGTGAGACTGCATCACTCTTTTCTCCTTTTTTGTCATATTTCCCTTAAAGCACTTGACAGAGCCAAGCTGGGTGGGCAGAGCTGCACGATTCTGATGACAAGGTGAGCTCTTGGCCTGGTGCTTTACATCAGAGACGTGGCAGTTCCCTGCTGAGCACTCAGAGCCTGTTCCACGGAGTTGTGAGTGGGGTGTGTGCAGGGACAGCTCCTTCAGGGCAGGGGTGCCCACAGGATTCCCTGTCTCACCCTCAGCACTGAGATTCCCTCGGTGGCTGCACTTTGAGCCAGAGGTTGGGGTGGTTTGTTGAGCTCGTGCTGCAACATGAGAAAAGAAGAATCTGCTGTGCACCACACTGACCCCAAACACTCCCTGGCTCCTGCCCAGTGCTGCACTTTCCTCCACGTTCACAGGAGTGCAGCAGCCTCAGTGCCTGGTGTTACTCGAAGTCTCGGTTTGGCCGCTCTTGCCCAACTTCAAAGCTGTTTTTCCTTGACCAGCCCATTGTGGTAGCATTTACAGTCTCAGCTGCTGAAGGCTTGTCTGGGTGGCAGAGAGCCAAGAAATGACACCCTCATCTCGAGGATCACAGTCATAGCCCTGAACCCAAACATTACCTGTGTGGGGAGGACGGCAGCTGTGTCATAACTCGTGTGGGCATTTCTAATGAGCACCAGGGCTGGGGCTGTGCTCAGGAGCTGGCTCCAGTTAGGAAGTCAAACCAAGACACTGCAGGAAGCTCATGGAAGAGGTAACACACTCCAAAGGCACGTCCTCTTCTGCTGCTGACGGGTTTCCTGGGGAGACCAGCCCTGAGGAGGGTAGAAAGCTCCCAAGTTGCTCATCTTCCAGATTTATCCTGTGACCCTAACAGGCCTGTGAGCAGCCATGAAGGAAATCCAAGCTTGGCACTTAGGTGGGGCTGCATCCTTCCCAGGAAAAGCACAGTGAAGGGCCAGTGAGGGAAAAGAGCTTTTTTCTTTTCTCAGTCACAACCCATCATTGCCATTAAGGGGAGGGTGAGTTTAACTCTGGAGGTCAAAGATCCTCTTGATTTTTAGGTGTTTTTAGTCCAGACTGAGAGTGACTGAAGACTTAGTCCAAACTTCAGGCATGGAATGTCCCCATCCCTGGAGGTGTCCAGGGATCACCTGGATGTGGCACTCAGTGCTCTGGGCTGGGTGACAAGGTGGGGATGGGTCACAGGTTGGACTCAATGATCTTGGATGTCTTTTCCAACCTAAGTGATTCCATACCAAGAACCTTGATGAATCCCCTCAATTCTGTAGAAGATAAAGAAAAGGAGCTCTGTGCTCCACTTTTGAACCTCTGAAAGATGAACAGCATCAAACACTCTTGGTCCCACTGAGCCAATGACTCAAAAGGCTGAACAAATTAAGCTGAAGGGTTAAATGTGTCTGGTTTTTCCTGGGCAAAACCAACAGTTGGTCGAGTTGAGAGTAGTCTGAGAGCTAGAAATGGCTTGTCCTGCCTTTAGCAGCCTCCTCATTCCTCTGCTGCTGTGTTGCAAATCAGAAGCATAGAAATCACCCCTCTCTTTTCTAATTAACTCAGATCAGTGCTAGACGTTAATAGCTGGCAAGATGATAATCTCACTGTTTTATCACCCTAATTAGGTCATGAATTATGTCCTGTAAGATCAATGATAGTTTTCCAAGTATTCCATCATTAAGGATTAAAGATGTAATTAACTAATCTAGTCTGCCTTGCATTGGCAGCCAGGGGATGGGGCAGGAGGGTATGAATGTGGTGCTTGTGGTATGAATGTTTCTGCTCAACACTAATTCATCTGCCACAGCACACTGCAGGGAGCAACAGACTGTTCCTGGCAGTGTTTGCTTTTTTTTTTTATTAATGTAATAACAGACAAAAACCCATCTGAAGTGACAAGTTTGCTAATTGGAAAGCTGAGCCCCCCGCAAGGCAATTAATTACTTAAGCAGAATATCTGCAGTAAAATTACTGCCTTTTCATGAAAGCATAAGCCATGAATCACAGAGTCATGGAATATCCTGAGCTGGAAGGGACCCACTAGGGTGATCAAAGCCCAGTTCCTGGCCTGAAACAGGATAGCCCCAAGAAGGCTGTCAGGAGTGTGGGAGGAAGCAAAACTCCAGGAGTTTCAGGGAGCAGTGATCCTTGTCCACACTGGATTCATTTGCATGCCCAGGACTGATCCTGCAGAGCAGCAGGATTGTCACCAGACCTGTCTTCAGAGGCTTTTTATCCCTCAGCTCTCCAGAGCGTGTGGGCTGTGTTTTGTGGCTCTCAGCCCATGGAAATGGTACCAAGCAGCAGAGTGTGATCCAGCTGCAGCAGGGGTTCCTTCTGCTGCAAACCCTAATCTGGGAGCACAAGCCCAGAGGTGCCACAATTCTGTGTCCTGCCACGGAGCTGGAGATACACCTCCAGCCCTGCTGGCTCATCCATTTGAGGCAGATGAAATGCTGGAGCCAAGCAGCCCAGCAGAGCTTTGTAGGCAAAGGAAATTGGAGTTGTAATCCTGCTCCTGCCACGGACTGACCTTGAGACAGAGACTTTTCTGCAGAAGGATGTAATCCTCAGCAGCCCTGAGAGAGGTAGGCAGGTAAGAAGCTTAATTGATGTTTGTGAGGCAAGGTGGGGATTACCTAAGAGGAGGTGTTGGAGGTTTGTGCAGGGTTGCTGTGCCCTGTGTGGGCTTGCAGGAAGCGGAAGGTCGTGTCATGATGTCATCTGCAATTCCTGACTCAAGTCTACATTGACGTCTTTCGAACCCTTCTCCTTCTTCCTGTCTCCTGGAGAGCTGTAATTCCTTCCTTTGTAGGGCAGCGTGTTTGCTGTGCTCCACAGCTGATCTGGGACAGGCACCTTCACACTGAGGAGCTGATTGGGATGCAGGAGATGACAAATGTCACAGCAGCAGACGCATGACGCAGGAGAGAGTTTGCTGACCTGCTTGTTGTTGTTTCTTCACACAAATGGAAAAGATTTGTCTAATGCTCTCTGCTCTGGCACCACTGAAAACGTGGTGACGCAGGAATCTCAGCACTGGAGGGTTGTGTTTCTGGAAGGAGTTTGATTAGAGCTGAAAGGGCAAGTGGAGCCAAGAGGGCTCACCTAGAAAGTCTTTTGAGAAGCTTTGGGCTTCCTCAGGAAAGAATAATTATTTTCCCTCTTAGGCATGGGGTCCTGGAGATCAGAGGGTGCCTCCTGGCAGTTGGAGGATGAATAAAGTGCAGCTTTCTGGAGGAAGTGGCTGTATTTTCTCCATGGCTGATGACTGAGGAGGAAGCTGGCTGTGAAAGGGCGAGAAAAAAGGCTAAAACCTGAAGCAGGGCCTTGGGACAAGGAGGACAGAGGCCAAGGCAGATGTGTTTAGAGAGCACCCACACAGCGTGTGAAGCTCTGGAGGGTGGATGCACTGCCCACCCTCAGATCCAAAGGCTCTTCAGCTGTTGAAGTGCTGCAGTTAGTGGCCAGAGCTGCTGGGTGGAAAGAAATCACTGTGGAAGTTTTGTTTCTGGGGAAACGAAGCTGTTGTGTCATAAATCTGAGACCTAAAGCCCAGGGAACAGGTCTGACTTTCTTTGGATAAAACCCTGGAGCCATGGCCTGCCCTCTGGCTGCTGTGGCCCCCTTGCCTTGGCTCTCACGTGCCATTGGCGTGATCTGGCCAAAGGGTCCCTCCAGCTTTTTGCGTGGAACGCTGCAAGTTTGTAAGCAGACAGGGTAAGCAGCCCAACAGCATCACTCAGGAATGTGAAATATTTCCAAGTGGCTCTTTCTAGAAGTGAAGCAGATTCCTGATGTGTGGATCATGGAGAAACTTCCCTGCTGTTCCTCGGGTCAGTGGGGGTGAGAGGTCCAGCTCTCACCTTGTTGTACTTTCAGAGCTCTGCACCCTCACCCTCCTTCATTGTGCTGCTTTTATTCAAATATTCCTTAGCAGCAGCCAGGAAAACACCAACTCCTCCATGTTTGGAGAAGGTACACCCTGCCTTTGGAGTCACAGTATGACCAGTATCACTGCCTCACTCTGCCTGGGCTCAGGTTTTATTTCCTTTGTGATCATCCCAGATTTACTGTTAAGGCACTGCTCCTCCTGGGACACTTTGTATTCCAGCTATAAATTAGAGTCAACTTCTTGTCTTCCACCAGAGATGTTGGTCCTTCAGGGAGAGTGGCTAGAGGGGGTAAATAAGCTTTCCTGACATCCCAGGAGAGTGGTTAAATAGTAGGAAGGCTGGGTGCAATTTGGCTTTGTGGCCCTGGGGAGGAGGATGACAAGGGACATGTGAGTGCCAGCCCTTTGCCCCCCAAACCTGGGTGCCAGTGGTTCACTGGAAGGAATAGCCTTGACCATGGAAATTTGCATTACCTGTGAGATTTCCAGAATTCCAATACTCCAAATATTTGAGGAGAAAAATGTCCAGTTTGTTGAAAACAACATTTCTTGTGAGGTTTGCCCCACCAGGTGCAGCCTGTGGTGTGTTGTCATTGTACCCTTGGTTCCCCATGGTGAGAGGGAATATCAGTGACACACAAAGGATGCACTTTGGAGCTGGATTTATCAGTTTGGGCCCTCAGCAGGAGCTGATCATGCCATGAGGAGGCAGTGGCTGGACTGGGAGGGAGAACAGGATCCAGCTGGATGGGTGCTCCATGGAAGGTGAGGCTGTGGTTGAAATGAGGGGAAGGAAAGGAAGGATCACTGTATGAGCTGCCTGATGTCTGTGCAGTGATAGACTGGGTTGTGAAATTTGGAACATGAGTTGGAGAGGGGCAGAGGGCTACTGGGTGAGGAGGAGGAGGAGGAAGTGGCAGTGAGCCTTGCCCAAGGGACAGGCTGGGAGCCGCTGTTCCAGTGGCCAGACTGTGGGACAGGAAACCAGTTTCCTTCTGCTGCAGCTCATGGGCTGTGTGACCTGCACAGGCTGCCCTACTTCTCTGTGCCTCAGCCATCCAGCCAGCAGCCAGGTGAGCTCAGCACCTGCCTGCCTATGTCAGAGCTCCCACGGGCTCTCTGTGCTCAGTTCATGCTCTGATTTCTGCCAGAGAAATCAGAAATTTCTTTCTCACTCACTCATCACCGAGCGGCTCCTGTGCCTTCGCTGCCAGAGCTGCATGATTCCTGACAGGTTCAGGGTTAGAAATCAGCAAATACAAACAGTGACCGTGCTAGGGCTTTTCTCCAGAGAGCTGGGATGTTGGGCTGAGCTGCTGGACCTGGCTGTGCTCTGCCAGCCCTGCTGTCAATGTTCCTTGAGCCAGGAACACCGAGGTGCCCATGGCACTGCTGGGCATCCCTGGGCATCTCAGCCAGCACAGCCCTGGGAAGGAGCCAGGGTTTCTGACATGGGCTGGAGCTGGGAAATGGATGGGAGCACTGGGGCAGCACTGAGAGGTGCCTTGCTCTGGGGGATTAGTGCCCATCCTGGCTGGGGCTGCTCCTCCCGGCCCTATTTGGATATATGACTTAATCCAATCTGCCCAATCCGGCAGTAATGAACACGTAGAGGAGAGAATGCATTCCACCCAGGAGGAGAGGGCTCAGCCAAAAAGCTGCTAACTAGGTCACTGATGAGCAATCTTTCCCCTCCCTCTGTGTCATTTTTATTAATCACTTGAAAAATAGGTTGAGTAATGATTGCAAGCAACTTGTCAAGCCAATTAAAACCAGAGAAAGGTAGGGCTGTGAAGCCGAACACAAATGCTGTGCTGGTTTTAAATGAGTGTCTGTAAACCCCACTGACCTGTGAGTAATTGCCTCCAAAAAACCTGGCAGCATGTGTGTTTCTCAGTGTGAAGGTTTGTTTCTTCTGCATCCACAGGGCAAACAGTTCATCGTGGCCCAGAGATGGATCACCACAGCAAAATCACTCTGAATCTGTCTTGTAGCTGCCTTACTCTGCTTTGACTCTTAGCATGGGGCTTGTCAAAGAGTTTAGTGCACTTTGAATGGAAAATAAAAATGCTACAGAGCACTCACTTGTTTTATTTTATGTAATTTGCCTGAATCTAAGCTCCCATAGCTTTATAATCTGCCCAGCTGGAAGATAAATTGTCAAATCTTATTTGTTGAACGGGGAAAAGAGCTTCTAGGTAATCTCACCATCATCTCACTTCAATGGGGTGAGTCTCCCCTGAGCGGATTCTCCAGGACCATTCAGCACATTCAGCACTGGGGTTGTTTTGGTTTATTTTTACGTGTTGGATGGATTGTGTGTGCCAACAATAAATGTTTATACTCCTGCATTCCTCTGCCCCTCTATCTGTGTTTTGTCTCCTGCGAGATGCGTGCCAGCACTGTGGGTGCTATGAGACAACATTACTCTTTGGGAGCTGGTGTAGTGTGTGAGATCCTGCTGCCCAGGATGTTTCTTCCCATCTGTTCCTGGCTCAAATCCCCTTCTCCTCAATTTTAGTCACCACTTTTGGTTACCATTCATAGCCTGAAATGTGATATTAAGGAGAAGAATACAAATATGTCCTGCTGCCTTCCTCCTCTTGCTGCTGCTCTGTCAGCTGGGTGGCAATAACAAAAGGCAATTAGTGACACAAATAAGCTTTCCTGGGGGTAGCTGAGAGCAGCCTTTCTCTGGAACTATTTGTGGCACAAATGGAAAAACACATGCTTCCCTCCTGCCTAAAAGGAGTAGCAGCCCAGGGGAGGGAGGGATCAATAACCTGCCATCTCATCAGCATTAGGCCCTTGTTTTGTAGCACCTCTGAAACCTCAGGGTGGAGAAGGGTACAGGGAGCACAGAACAGAAATTTTGTTTTTTACTGGTGCAGAACTTGTTTAGAGCCTCCTGCACTTGCCAAGAAATCAACTAAAGCCATGATTTGCTCCCATTCCATCCTGGAGAGCTTTCCCTTCTCTCTGTAACACTGTTGTAGCCATCACACAATCAAACCTCCTCTTTCCCCCTCCCCATGCACGTTTTTGGGTTTTCCCTGTGCCTGAGCCCACCTGTGTTTCTGCCCCCCAGAGTTAATGAGCTGTACGTGGATGACCCAGACAAAGACAGTGGAGGGAAAATAGAAGTGAACCTGAACATCAGTTTGCCAAACCTGCACTGTGAATGTGAGTACCTCTTCACTTAGCAGCTTTTCTTTGTGCTTTAAGTAATACTTGAAATGGGCCCAGCCTGGTACAGTGGCCCTTCTTCTGTAACAGGATGGAAATAAGTAGCTGCAGCCTCTGCCAATATCCCATTGCTTTCTGTTCCAGGCCAGGGCACCTGTTTTCTTGGACCATGTGTTAGTGGCTGATCTCCTTCACTGGCTTCTTTCTGAATCTCATTTCCTTTTTTCTTTTTTTTTCTTTTAAAATTTTATTTATTGTTCAATAGCAACCTTTTTGTGTCTGGGAGCAAGAAACCTCCCAAGTTCCATTTGGAGCTGTGAGTGCACCAGCTGGTTGTTGGCTCTTCCCAGGTCACCTGCCTTGTCTGCCTGAAGCTGTTCTGTTTGTGTGATTGGGAGTGCAGGCAGCTGGCAGGACATGGCAGGTGTATTTGTGTCAAATAGGCAGTGTGAAAAGTTTGGTTGCAAAGCTTTTCTGGTATAACAATTTTTGACAAAGGACATTATCACCTCAGTTTAGTCAAACGTCAGGAAAAAAGGTGTGGATTTTTTTCAAGTAAAAACAATACATGCTTTTCCTATGCAACCTTCCTATTGCTTATTTTGTTGGGTTTTTTTAAAAATTATCTTTTCCCTCCCACCCCTGCAGTGGTTGGACTGGACATCCAGGATGAAATGGGAAGGCATGAAGTGGGTCACATTGACAACTCGATGAAGATCCCTCTCAATAATGGGGATGGCTGCAGGTTTGAGGGCCATTTCAGCATCAACAAGGTGAGTGGCACTGACAGTGGGTGAGGGTGTGCTGCCTGGGGAGATGCTGGCAGGATCCATTTGTGAAAATGAAAATTTGCAAATCTGTGTCTCTCCCGCCATGTTGTGTGTGTTTATGACCCTGATCAGACAGAAACTCAAGTCAGTGTGGGGAGAGGAGGCAGCATGGCCAGACCCACAGGGAATGTGTTAGATCAGGGGTTTGCTTCACTCTCCAAAGCAGGTAATGGAGACAGAATTGCTGATCAGGGAGAGCAGCTCTGTGCAGCAGCCCCATGTCCAGGGGATGTGTGAAAACCCTACAGATGCCAAAGGGCTCCTCTGTTTACTCCTCACGACTTCTGCACCTCCAAAACCTGACTCAGGGTGGAGAGGTCTCTGGCAGTGGCTGCATCTCAGCTCTCCTTTGTTCTGAGAGCTGCAGAATGACAGGAATGTGCCCTGCTGGAGGGTGCCAGGCTCCTGCTGGGATGTTTGGAATACAGCACGTGGCCCCACGCATGCTTGCTGGGGATGCTCTGCTTCTGTCTCAAGGAATGAAATTCCAGGCCTGGAGGAGGCTCCTCTTTGGAATGGGTGTGTTCAAGATTGAATAATCTTGCTATGTAATGCTGGAGATGACTTGCTGGGGTGGGGGAGGCACTGGTGGGACCCAGTGATGTCCTAAGAAAGGCACACCCTTTATTCACTCCTCTTGGTGTACCACAGGCTACAAAATCCTCCTTCCTTCTTTTCCTCCCAGGTCGTGTTAAAGCACATCTAAAAATAACAGACAGCACCTCTTGCTGGTTCTGTGGCATGGAAATGATTGGGGATTTAAAAAGAGGAGTTTTTCTCATCTCCAGGGCACCAGGATGGCTGGCAGCTGGTAGTCCACAAAACTGGGAAAGGGCTTCTGGAAAGTTCTTGTCCAGACAATTCCCAGAGCACAGAGCTGAGGCACCTGGGGGTTTGTGTGCTGCATGTGGTGTGTCCTGCTCACAAAGCAGCCCCAGAAGGGGATGCAGCATGTGGCACTGAGGAGCTTCCTCCACTGCTCATTTGTGTCTCATTTAGTGGCTGGGACAGCTGTCACAGGCTGGGGAGCTGACCCAGGACTTGTGGCTCTGGAAGCCCAAATCTCCTGTGTGTGACCTGGCAGTCTGCAGTGCCTTGGCAGGAGTTGGACAGGCTGAGAGCTGGAGTGGGACCTGGCCAGCCTTGGGAAGCTGACCAGGGCTTGCACTTGGGCTGTCCCAGCTGCTGAGGGAGGACAGGGTGACAGTGAGATGCTGGTGTGTGCTGCTTGCTGTTTGCTCAGCTTGTTTATGACACCACTGGTGTCCACACCTGAAAGTGCTCCCAGGAGTGCGCTGCTGTTCCTCAGGTCATTAAATCAGCTTTCCTGAAAGCACATGGAAGGGCATGTGGCCTCCCATGGCCCTGCTGGTGAGGTGTCTCTGCAGAGAGCAGCTGGGCAGCAGTTGTATAACCACCCTCCCACTCCTGCCTTGGGCTGTGCCACATTGCTCCTCAGGGATGCTTCATTTCACAACCTTTTCTCAATAGGAAAATATTCTTGCACCCTCCATGTCAGTGATTGAGCTGAATCTGCTGAAGGACTTCAGGGCTAGTGACCTGAAAAGTGCATGCTTGCAGAGTGGTGCCATCAGAGGGACACCAGGGCTCATTTTCTGTCTTGGAACTGAGCCTTTAGGTGAAACTTGTGCTTTTCAGTTCTTCGTATTTCCCTCCATTAAAAAAAATGAAAGGAAGGGCTCTTGCTAGATTCTGCCAAGGGGAAGATCTAGGTTAGTTTGTATGGGATGCCCACATGGGTTTGGTGGTGGATTTTCTCTTCACATAAAACTCATTCCTGCACACAATCTCAGAGGTAAAGTTCTCATGACTGATACCAGAAGAGAAATACATCCCCAGCTTCCTGGGCTGCTCTGCAGCAGTGGGCCCCTTTGCAAATGCCAGATGTGGGAGTAAGACATTGAGCAAGAGAGACAGGAATTTTATTTTAATGGGGATGAAAGACATAGCCTTAAGTGCTGGGAATCCCTGGAGCTGGGAGTGACCCACTCATCATCCCCTGGTCAGGACCATCAGCAGTGTGGGGTGCCAGGCTCCGGGGTGCAGGACCTGAGCGCGGTGGTGCTGGTCGGCTGCAGGAAGGCATCACGGATTCTCCCATCTTCCTGGATGGATCCAGGCATTCCCATGTCACACCACAGAGCCTAGCAATGCCTTGAGGGATAAAATGTGAAATCCTGTCTTCCCTGTTGTGGCTAATTTTAGGTCCCTGGTAACTTCCACGTGTCGACGCACAGCGCGACGGCGCAGCCCCAGAACCCCGACATGACTCACGTCATCCACAAGCTCTCATTTGGGGACAAGCTACAGGTGAGTCCTGAAACTTCCCTGGCTCTAGGGGAATGCAGTGAGAGTGGTTTAATGTTAGACACTTTGGTTTTATGGAAGGCTTGTGTGTCCCTGCACCGTAAGCTCAAGGCTGGAAGAGTTCACAGCTGCCACCAGCTGGGGCAGGAGCAGTGTCCAGCCACAGAGCAACTGTGATGTGTTCTTCTGAAACTCAGAGTGCTTTTGGAAAACTCAGTGGGGACAGTTAGAAATGAGGGCTTGTGGCTCAGCAAAATCCTGGTTTTGGCATGAACACAGCAAACAAACCTTTCTGCCTTTGTGGAGGAGCAGTGATGCACTCAGGGAAGATGTGTGCTGGCTACTGTGTTCACCACAGCAGCAGTCAAGCTCTTCTTAATTCACTTCACTCTACTTGTATAGCAGACACCTATTAGTCAAATTTGCTCTGTGAAACACAAGTTAGACTTAGCACTGCCAATTCCCTGCTGAATGCATGCACTTGCCCAGTGGATAGAATTTCACCAGGTGCTGCAAGTTATGTAATATTACCTGATTTCTCAATAAGGACAGATTACAGCACTAGCCTACTTCCAAGGAGCTGCCCTCACAGGTGGGAGTTCCACATGTGCACACCCAGCTTGAGACTCACCCTAAACATTGCTTACCCTTAGTCTCTCTGTAATCTTCTTTCCTCAGCACAGACGTCTCATTAGTCTGCTCCTTGTACACCCACTTGCAAAGCCCTTTTTCATGCTAACAAGTCTAAGCGTTGCTTTGTAGTCTTCTGGTTCTGCTCCCGGCTCCTTTTAGGAATTATCTTGTGTGGGAACGAGGAAATATTAGCGTATAAATAAGCTTGGCTTAATGTCTGTAAAGCACACTGAGATTATGAAAAATAGGAGGTGAGTGGTAATGGGGAGTTGTGCAGCCTGCGTGGGAAATGGGTGCTCTGAGGGAGCATTCCCATTGTTTTATCATGGAGTGCTGGGGGAAGGCAGCTGGAGTGTGAATCAGCATGGAGGAGGAGCCTGGAGGGACAAGCAGCAAGTGCCTTCAGTTCTTGTGGTGAGAAACCTGTCTGGCAAACGTGGAGTTGGCTCCTGGCTGGGGCAAGTTGAGAGGAGTGTGTTCAGAGCTAAGGATGACTGCTCATGGTCTGAGGTGCTGCAGGCAAGCAGCAGCTCAGCAGCACAAATTAAAGAAGGATCTCTTCCCCAAACAGGTGCTACCACGACTCAGCAAGTGTGGGGAGCTTTAAATCTGCCTAGGTGCACCTTTGAATATTTCAGGTTGTCTCCACCTGCTTTGATGTAATAAAAGCTTATATTCCTTACAGAGGGTGAGGAGCTCCTTATTCACTTGTGTCATGTGCTGGGAGTTTGTTCTTTGTGGGTTGGGGCTGACTCTGCCACAGTGATCCACTGAGGGACAGGCTGTGTTCTCCAGAAAAACCAGTCTCTTTGAAGCAGAGATTTAAATATCATCTGGCTCTGAATGAGCTTTGAGTCTTCATCAGTACTTTGTGCACAATAGTGGCAGACTTCCTGTAGATTTTTCATCCTCATTGAGATGAGATCAGAATGAAAACCTGCAGAATTAAAACTGATGCAGTGAGTTGCTGCTTGTCAGGGGTAACCCAGTAAGGAGAGGGATGAGGAGAGCAGGAGATGATGCCTTTTTACTGACAAGGTTAAAGCCAGGATTATTCAACACCATAATGTAGAACTCAGTAGAAATTATGATTAAAAATACAACATCTCCTATTTCCACACACCTCTCTTTACTGGGTTACCTGACAGCTGGAGGTAGGAACTCATTGGTTTGAATTTTGGTCTTGATGAGTGGAAAATCTGCCAAAAGTTTGAAGTGAACCTAAAGTCTCTGGTGCAGATATTCTGTAAGAGACTTCTTAGCTGTTCCAAGAATGGAACACAACACTGTAGCCCACTCCAGGGGCTTCTTTTTCTTATGCCTTTTACAGTGAGTGAAGAATGAGCACAGCCTGCAGATGTAGTGTGGGAATGGTGGTGGTTGTGTGAAATTCCAGCAGGGCAAAAGGCCTTGCAGAAGGATCAGCTGCTGCTTCTGCTCTGCTCCTGTTCCCAGCACCTTCCAGTGGAACTTGCTGTGATTTTGTCTGTCCAGAATTTCCTTTCTGCTGAGCAGAACTGGTTCACTTGCTGCTTCCTCCCTGATCCACTCTGTAGTGCTGGGAGCAGGGAAATGCCCATGAGGATGAGACAGAAGCGTGTTGAGAGGGTCTGGGAAGGAGATGGCATTGCCCTGTTGGTGAGGTGAAACTGTCACACCCCTGACCAAATCCTCACTCCAAACTCTTCTTCCCTGTTGTCTGACTTAAGGTCAGGAATTTCTGGGTCGTGGAGCTCTGTGTCCTCTCTTTGTACCTTGTGAGCAGCACAACCCCTGACCTACAGCTGCTGCCATGGGCTTTTCCCTGCCTGGAGAGATCACACGTGGATGATTCTGTTGCTGGAGATCAGGCTCCAGGTCACAGCGTGTGCAGGGCATGGAAATGCTGTTTTTCTGGGCAAACAGATACTCACAGGTCTGAAATCAGCTGCAGGAAAAGCTGAAGGGGTGTCAGTGTTGGGATGTGTCCTTCCATCAGCCATCTCCGAGGCTGGGGAGTTGTACAGACCCAGCTGCCCTGACACCAGCCACCTTTAGAGGAGAAACCTGCTGAGTTTTAACCCCAGTGTGACTCCCATCTATTTCCCTTTCAGCCTGATAAAATTAATTTCACAGTTACCTCTGCAAAGCTCTTAGGAAATACCTCACGGTGAAAATTTCACAACTGGCCTCTTCCAACTGCAATTCCTTTAGCTTTGGAGTGGTTTTGGAGTTTCATCTTGTAAGATGTTGTGAAATCAGCTTTTTCACTTGGAGCCAACCGCTGTGATGATGGTCACTGAAAGATATTTGGGGTCATCTTTCACTGGATCCAGGCTTTGTTTTTTGGAAGGGTTGAATCAGGCTGGTTACAGGCTAGGGAAGCAAAGGTCAAGAGTATCAAGGCAGAGCAGAGTTTCTTCATCCTCCTTTTTGCTTTCCAGGTCCATAACGTCCATGGAGCATTCAATGCCTTGGAGGGAGCAGACAAGCTCAGCTCAAACCGTGGGTATTCCTGGGCACTGCAGCTCTCAGCCACCCTCTGCAGGAGGGAAAGCAGGGCCATGCATGCAACACTGCTGTATCCAGTGTATTTCATTCACCTCTTCAGCCAAAATCATCCAGACATTGCTGGCTGACATTTCCATTTCCTCCAGTGCTAGAGAAAAGGCTTAGTCCAAAAGGTTCCTTTGCAGTCCTTGTGGAGTTTTTTATCCATATCCTGTTCCTGTAGTGTCCCTTTGCTGTGTTACTTCCACCAGAACTTTGCCTTGTACTTGTGTTGCAAATTGCCTTGGAATTTCTGCTCTGTGGATGGCAAGAGGGACATTTTCATGGCCTAGCACAAAAAGGAAAATTCAATGCATGCTACAATTCAGTGTAGAGAGTTGTCTCTTAAATGTTCAGACTCCTCCAGGACATCAGTCTTGTCCATTCCTTGGAACAAAATTTCTATGGCTGTTCCTGAAGTTGTGGTTTGGGGTTTTTGTACCTCCAGAAGCCAAATGTCATTGTGTTACACTTGGCTAGAGGATCCTTCAGAGATGTCATTTAGAATTCTGTTTTAGAACTGTTTTAGCAGACACAAAAACTGGAATGAGCCATTTAAATAATGAAAAAAAAAAGTTAAGCAGCTGTAGGAGTGTAGGAGAAGGAGGATGAGAAAGCAAGAAAGAAATGGAAGTACTCAGGTTGTGATACCTCAGGTTTTTTAGTCAAAATGATCTCAGTGGGCTGCAGCCCTAACCTCAGCCAGTTCCTGATTTAACCAGGCTGTTTGTGGTGGTGATAAGTGTTACCATTTATAGTTGCAAGCAGTTAGGAGGGTTGGGGTAACCCAAACCATGGGTGGGTTGTGGTCCTACAGAAGGTGTGGGCGGCTCCTGGTGTCACCCAAGCACCTGCCAGGGTTCTGAGCAAAGGGCACAAATGTGGCGGGTGAAGCTTTGTCCCTGCCATAAGGAGGAGGGAGTCACCCTTTTCTGTGACTTGTCCTGTGGGCTGGCTCCTTTCTCTCAGTGCTGACATGTCCTTCCCTTCCTTCCCCGAGCACAGCCCTTGCCTCTCACGACTACATCCTGAAGATTGTGCCCACGGTGTACGAGGACATGAGCGGCAAGCAGCGATACTCCTACCAGTACACCGTGGCCAACAAGGTAAAGCAGCAGCTGCCTCTCCACCCCCGGGCTCCTCTCTGCACCCCAGGGGATGCTCAGCCACCGTTCCTCCCCTCCTGCTGCTCTCTGTGCCCTGTGGGTTTGTGGGTGAGCAGTAGCCTCTGCTGGGAGAAGGAGGAACTGAAGCTCCTCGGAGTGGGGCTTTTCCTGCTGCTGCAGTTTGCCAGCCTTGGGAGGGTTTGTCAGAGCAGGTGGTGGTGCTTTCATTCCTGTTCTTCCTTCTGGTGTGCTCACCTGTCAGTTTAGCTGATGTGGATTTCTGTAGATTGTGTGGGAGGTGTTTACAGGCTGCAGGAACTCCTGTTGTGCCTGGCAAGGTGCATCTGAATGGAAATAATCCAGCTGAGCACATAAGACTTCATTTACACCTGGTTTTAGTAACTAAACAGTCTCAGTTGTGATGGATGGATGAGACAAATAAATCAGCAGAGTTTTTAGCTTTTTACAAATGTTTATTTCAGACATTAAGTCACTGAACTGAAGCAGCAAATATATGCTGGTTGAGTATTTCACAGTCCCTGCATTATGGTAGTGAATAATCACAGAATCCATTAGTTTAGGAAAGATCCAAGATCACCAAATCCTACCAGTGACCAATTCCCAGCTTGTCACCCAGCCCAGAGCATGAGTGCCACATCCAGCATTTTAACAATTGAATGTATTGAATTGTTTTAAGGAAAAAAAGGACCCTATTTACTTTTGACAGTAGAAAGCATCTTCCAGTTGAAAATTACTTGCCATTCAGGTGCTAAATGAAAGTCCAAAATCTGTTTGTAATATCTACTTCTAGTTTGCCCTAACTGATAATTAGGCACACACTCTCCTGGACTAGTTCTCAGATTAATGTTCCTGACTGGTGACTTCTGGGCTTGCTTGTGTGTCTGTCCCAGGGATTTGGACATCTCCCTCTGTTCAGATTACAGTGTATTTGTTCTGCTTAATGTCACAACTGCTGTTCTGATAAGACTCCTGTGACAGGAGTTCTGAAAGTAATTTGGAAAATAGCAGGAGCTTTTGACACTTCTGTGAGCTTGGCTGCAAATTGGGGCGTTCAGCCAAGTCTGACTCATGAGGGCAGGAGTGCTGGTGGGGAGAAGGGGACAGGAAGGAAAAAATGAGGTCAGTTCTGTCAAAACTGAGGTGCTGAGAAGCACAGCTGTGCTTTCTGCTCATGGTGCTTCAGTCCTTCACTCCACACTGAGCAGTGGGAAAGGGAAATGGGAAGCCCCTGGAAGAGTCTGGCACAGAGTGGCTGCTATGGGGAGAGTCTGAAGGGTACAGACTCTGTCTCCTCTCTTAGCTCCCTGCTTCCTCCCTTCCCACAGAACCACTGTCTCAAAATGAGCTGCAGAGCTCCAATAAAAGCCTGAAAATGTCATGACTGGGGACTTCTGCCTCTCTTGTCATCATGGGATGAACCACCTAAAAATAGGGAAATTTGGAATTTATATGAGATGATTGAAGATAAATGCTGTTTCACCAGCACACAGAACAAAATTATTTTTTTTTGAGTCATGCTCATGAGTGTCCTGTTGCTTGCTCTTTTTTATTTTTCTGAAGTATTTGAGGCTGTCTTTGCCTCTTTGTGAAGGAGAATTGAGGCAGGAGAGGAGATGTGAGCTGGCAGCTTGTCACAGGGCTGAGGGAGGGAGGGGCAGCCTGTGCCACACTGGGCTCTCCTTGGACTCTGGGTCCCCAGCCTGCTTTCCTGGGATTTTTCTTCACCCTGTGAATGTCTGAAAACTGATTCCTATCTCCACTGACAGCACAGACAAAATATTATCTCAGGAAGATGTGGCTTCAGTTCCCAAGCTGGTGCTGGCACTGGGCAGTGTGTCCTGCTGGGTGCTGGCCTGTGGCTGCAGTGGCACTTTGGAAACAAATGGATTAAAGGAGAGTGGACCTGGAAATTGGGAAGGTGTCTCTCCCAAACCAGCCTGGGATATTTTTTGAACCTTTGCTAATATTTTTCTGTATACAGTTTCATCCTGGCTTTCAGCAGGAATTTTAAAGATGGTTCCACATGATTGATACTAAGAGGCACAGCATTCCCATTGCCAGTGGAGAGGGGGCCTGACAGAGGAATGCAAAGACAAGGAGGGATTTTCAGGCTTTTACAAACTAAATTTCATTTGTTTGGTGAATGATTTATATACAAAATATAGACATGCAGACCTAAAACTTCACCTGCAGCCAGGCTGTTTATATTTAAATAGAGTAGATTTAGGATGGAGAATCAATGACAGCCTTTCTGTTTAATCCTGTGACTCTGAATGAACGTGAGAATAATCACCATCACCCCCAGCTCTTTCATTATCAGCCTGGAAGGAGATTGTTTTCCTCTTTGATAAGGATGGGAGGTGAGCACTCACACAGGAATTCACTGTTTGCTTCTTTCCATCTGGCCACTGCTACAAAACAGTGGGGTGAAGGCCAAACCCACGGAGGCAGCTTTCTGGCAGACACTCTCTGGAATGAGCTTGCTCACATTTTGTGCCATTTTCTCCTTTTTTCCCCCTGTTTTTCCCCAGGAATACGTGGCCTACAGCCACACAGGCCGCATCATCCCGGCCATCTGGTTCCGCTACGACCTGAGCCCCATCACAGTGAAGTACACAGAGAGGAGACAGCCTCTGTACAGGTTTATCACATCGGTGAGTCACCCCACCCTCTCCTTCTCCCTTCCTCTGCCTGCCTTTCAGGGCCCTCCTGAGCCTTTCTTGCCCAGAGGAACTGAGTTTCTGCCTCAGGGCACTGCGATAAGGTGGGGACACAGCAGCACATCTCTGGGGTGCTGCTGGACTGGAAGGTGAGTCTCTGACAACTTGATTTAATAGCTGGGCACAAAAAGGAGGGAAGTTAACCCATTCCAGAAGGGCCAGGCTCTGCCTAGGCAGGATGGGCTCTCTTGCAGCATGTCAGAAGCTTGGAAGTAAAGCTGAAAACTGCCATAAACTGCTCAGTAATCCAATGAGATCAAATGTGCAGAGAATCTAGAGTGGTTTGGACTGAAAGAACCTTGAAGCTCATTCCATCCCACACCCTGCCATGGCAGGGACACCTTCCACTACCCCAGGGTGCTCCAAGCCCTGTCCAGCCTGGTCTGGGACACTTGGAGGGATCCAAGGGCAGCCACAGCTGCTCTGGGCACCCCTCACCCTTTTCCTCCCCAAAGTCATCCTGGTCTCACCTGAGGGTTTTCCTTTGTTCCAGTGAGGGAGGAGAACTGTTAGATGACACAGAGCTGCTTGTCCTTGCTATCTGCTGGTATTTGGGTGATTTTTACAGTAAATAGGAAGAAGACTGGCAGTGGAGATTTTATCAGCAGCCACTTCTCTCCTACAAGACACTGAATTTTGTTTTTTATACTGAGTTTTACTCAGTGCTGCTGCTTGGCTTAATAAGGAGTGCCAGTTCCAGGTATTTACTCCTGAGTAGGAGTGGAAAAGAGCTGCATTATCAAATTCCAGAGGTGTTTTCCTGACGAGTTACATTTGGATCTGTCCAGAGAGCATCCTGCAGTCCTGATCTCAGCATCCAGAACAAAGCTGTGCTGGCCAAACTGCTCATTAGGCAAAGAGCTATTTAAAGATCCTCCAGAACTTTAAAAAAAAAAAAGTGTCTTCAGGGAGTTGGCTTAAAATTGAAGCTGCAGTGAGCTGTGCCAGTGAGGCATGGTGGAATGTGAAGCACTTGATAAATTGGCTGCAGTGAAGACCTCAAATTCTGATTTTTAAACTGTTTGACTGTTTTAACTGCAATTCACATAAACAGTGTGGTGGAGTTGCACTTCAAGATTTTGATTTTGCAACTTTTGATAAACAGCAAGTTCCCTTCACTGAACTTTAGACAGTGAATAGAATACACAAAGAACCAGATAACGGGGCTTGAAGTAAAACCTGAATATCATGGTAAAGGACTTTCTCTTCTTAGCACATCCACTTGGCTTCAAAAAATAATCCTAAAAAAGGTCAAGCATCAGCATTTCATGACTAGGCATCTCATTCTGCCTCTGCTTCTTTCCCTAAAATTGTGCTCCCAGAAGTTTCTTACACATCTTGCTGGGGGTGAGGGTGTGGAGGTGTTTTCATGGGAAATGATTTGATAGCTGGGATTATTCTTTAATTTTATTGTCAGCATTGATTCACAGCTGATCTGCCATTATATGCCTATAAAAAGCATCTTTTTTGAATGATATCCTGCTTCTGAGGAGCACAGTCATGTGTCTGACATTGCCTTTCTGTCACTTGCCAGCAGCCCTGCCTCCTCCTGTGTATCCCCTGGTGTTTTCCTTTAGGCACCAGCCTGCATCCCACTCTGCTGTGATCTCCTTCTGTTCAAGGTGCATTCCTCATGTCCAGAGGGCCCTCACTGCTGGGATTATTCCCCTTCTGTGTCTCCTTCCTTTCATCCTTTCATGGCTGGGCCTGATCCCACAGACCTCATGGAGCTGAAGGCAGATCACTGCCAATAACTCATCCCATTAAACCCAGAGAAGTGCCTGATGCCTGCCTGTATGCATCAGAGCTGTCCTGATCCAGGAACATTTGCTGCAGCTCCTGTGCTGACCTGGAGCCCAGCACTGGTCACAAGCCCTCCAGGCCCTTTGTTCGTCACCAGGACTCAAAGCTGTGTGTGCAGGAGGCCCCAGTGCCAGGTGTGTGTGACTCATCCCCACTCAGCACTACAGAGCTCTGCAGATGAATTTATATTTTTTTTTTCTATTCCCCAGCCCCTTGTGCTGCTGCACTGAAGTCAGATTTTCCTGCCTGTGATGCAGAATGTGCGTGTTGGACGGGGTTTGTGTTTGTGCTGTGACATCTCCCGTCAGCTGGGCTGCTCTGAGCTGCAATAACCCAGCTCCATGGTGGGCATTTCCCTGGGGGGTCACCCTGTGCCACACCTCAGGGACAGCAGGGAGGGGGTACAGGAGCAGGAGCTGGACTTGTCCCCTAAAAACCCTGACTTTGCCTCAGGCTGCTGCTCTGGTTTCAGCAGCCTGGATCTGCTGGAATGCTGAGTGTCCTGCAAAAGCCCCATTTCCTGCAGCCCCATTTCCTGAGCTCACTGAATGTTCATATCTTGGTTATAAATGCACATGGCAAGGAGCTGTCGCTCTCACTGCCTTTGCTCACCCTTGATGAGCTGTTTGTTCCTTCCCCTCAGCTCTGCTGCTGCTCCTACGTTGGTTTTCGTCTCTGACTTTGCCCATGGGGAGCTGTGTGGGAGCAGAGACGTGGCAGGGTGTGTGTAGTGTGGCACCAGTTCCCTTCTGGGCCAGCTCTGTTGCACTTTTATAACGTTTATCATGGAATTATTTAGGTTGGAAAAGACTTCCAAGGCCACCGAGTCTCAGCTGTGATCCCCACCTTGTCCCCAGCCCAGAGCACCGAGTGCCACCTCCAGGGATGGGCACTCCAACCCTCCCTGGGCAGTGCCAGGGCCTGAGCCCCCTTTCCATGGGGAAATTCCTGTTGGTGCCCACCCTGAGCCTGCCCTGAGCCCCCTTTCCATGGGGAAATTCCTGCTGATGTCCACCCTGAGCCTGCCCTGAGCCCCCTTTCCATGGGGAAATTCCTGCTGTGCCCACCCTGAGCCTGCCCTGGCCCAGCCTGAGGCCGTTCCCTCTCATCCTGGATGCCCACCTGGCTGTCCCCTCCTGTCAGGAGCTGTGCAGAGCCACAAGGGCCCCCCTGAGCCTCCTTTTCTCCAGGCTGAGCCCCTTCCCAGCTCCCTCAGGGATTCTCCAGCCCCTTCCCAGCTCTGTTCCCTTCCCTGGACACGCTCCAGCCCCTCAGGGTCTCTCAGCACGAGAGGCCAGAGCTGGACACAGCCCCCATGATGTGACCTCAGCAGTGCCAGCACAGGGGACAGTCACACCCTGCTCCTGCTGCCACACTGGTTTTGATACAAAAACATCTGAGTTCTGCTCAAGGCTAGCTTCATACAAACCACGGTGGGGAGGCAGAAGTCCAACACCACAGGAGGGGAAGAAAGTCCCAGGGTGCCACCAGGGAGTGTGGCACACCACAATGCAACCTACAAATGTTACCAGCCATGTTCTAATTACACAGTTCTAACTTCCCAGCTCCCACATTTTTTACTTCACAGCTGTGGTGCTCTTTTTAATTTGGTCTTTTATGTTGTGTAGGATGAGGTGGTTCTGAGAATAAAAATGGGGTTGTGAGAAGGGGAACAAGATGTGGAGCTTATCTCCTGACAAGGGCCTGCCTGGGAAAAGGGGGATTTGCTATGAGCTAGGGGCTGAAGGAGAGAGCAATCCCAAACCAGTGAGCCATTGTAGCAGGGAAATATTTTGTATTGTTGGTCTTCTCCAGCCTAAAGGACTCTGTGATTCTGTTTCCACAAAGACTTAGGTTTGACAGAATACACAGAATATTTCTGTGTTTTCGTAGCACTTGAGAAGTGAAGTAGGCTGTTAACGCTGATCAGGAGATGAATTTTTTCCCTAATTCTGTTCTTGGAAGTAATTATGTGTTTTAATTCGACCCAAGATCCACATCTTGTGTGGAAAACTCTGTCCCACGAAGAGTTAAGTTGGCTGCTGTGAGCAGCCCTTGTCATGGAAAGTGTTAGGCAGGGCTGTGGTGTCACTGGCAGCTGGGTTCCTCTGTTACTCACTGCCCTTCACGTGCTATTTCAGAGCCTTCTGCCTGTTAGTAAATTATCTTGTGAAATGGGGAAAAGACTACAAGACTGGTGTTTATAACAGAAAACAGTACAGGAAGATGTGAGCAGCACAGAGCTCCTAGAAATCTGAGTTGGGTGGAGTTTAAGCCAGAAGGGAGCAGTGTTTGTGCTGTGGGAGCTGGGATTTGTGATGGCTCAGTGCTGAGGAGTTCAGCACTCATTTATTCCACTGCAGGGAATGGTTTTTGTGAATGATCCTCATGGAATTCCATCCCCAGGGCTGTTACCCACTCCCTACTGTGCTTCCAGCAAACACCCAGGCAGCAGGACCCCTCCTCCAGCTCAAGCTGTGTAAAAGTTCCCCTCGTTGTTGACAAAGGTGTTTGTCTGTCTGTAATTGCAGATATGTGCCATCATTGGAGGAACATTTACTGTAGCTGGGATCCTGGACTCCTGCATTTTCACAGCATCAGAGGCCTGGAAGAAGATCCAGCTGGGCAAAATGCAGTAGCAGTGAAACTCTACCCTCGACTCCAAGGACAGGAGCAAAGATTGACAAATCTACCACTACCTGTTTTTGTCTTTATTTTCTATTTGATTGAATCAGTATGTTTTTCTCTAATCAGGCTGGTCAGTGAAGACATCTTCAACAAATCAAAGAAATCTCCATGCATTTCAGAGCTCTGAGAGGGAAAAATCAGTGGAATCAGGGTGTGGATTCCCTCCCCCCAGAGAGAGAGGTTGAAATGCCATTTGAGATCTAAGTGAGGATGGCAGTCTGTCCTCTGGGAGGTTCCTATGGCAGTGTACAAACTAGGGAGTAGATGGCAAAGAGCTGAACTGTCTTGTGGCACTTTTTGGAGTTCTGTTGGATTTGCATGATCAGACAATCGACTTTTGTATAGGGCAAAATTACGCATGAGGAAGAAATTCCACCCATGGTGCCAAAAAGGTGATGTATCTGTTGGTGAGGAGTGGAAAGTGTTAGTCCCCACAGCAAACCTAAGAGACAGAGGGCAGAAATAACACCCAGAAATGTTCTGTGCTTCTATTGAAAGCTCAGTTGTTCAGATACAACCTTTCTAACCAAGTGAAAAAAGAACAGGAAGCCTTCCCCAGCTACCTTTTCCTATAGGTGATCTGTGATCCCAGCAGTGGAGGGCATTTCTTTTACCCTGGATGTAAAAGTGGTTTCATTCCTTCCCACTAACTGAATATCCAGTCTTGTGTTTACAGGTGGCATGAAGTAAAAACCAAACTGAGCAACACAGTTTTATGTGGCCTTTGCTTTGAAAGGGAATAGTTGTCTTTACAGCATTAGCTTTTCTTTCTTCTGTTTCTAAACACAGACCACCCAAAAGTCTGGATTCTACTTTATTGTTGTTGTTGTTGTTTTCTTTTGAAAAGAAGTTTTATATTCTCTGTGCTCAGAAAAATGGTGCAGCCCTCTGGGTGGATGAGCACAGCTTCCTCTCTTGCTTTGTGTGTGTGTATTCAATACACCTGTCAAACACAGGAATTCTGACTTTTCAGGATTTAAGGTGCCTCCCTTTTCCTTTAAAGCTCAGCCAGGCATCTTTTCTGAGCCCTGGCCTGCCAGTGCTCTCCCACAGGTACCCAGGGCAGCATTCCCACAGGTGACCCTTGCTGGGAGTTTTGTTTGATCCCTTAAAAAGATTCCTGAGCTTCCCTGTCCATTCCTTCAAGCCTTGTCTTCTGGAGCCTCCAAAACACAGAGGTGTGAGGGGAAAACTCCTGCCAGGGGTGTCTTGCATCTCATTTGGTTTCAAAAATGAGAGCAGATGCCCACCAGTGCATTTTCCAGAGCCTCATCAGTGTTCCTTGAGTAGTGACAGTCTCTGCATGCCTTGTGAATGTCTGAGCTGAGGATACACAAATTTTAAGTCTTTCAGGATGGATTAAACAAAAATAATCATAAAATAAGGATCTTGAACTCAGTGCTGTAAATTGTAAGATGGGTGCAGGGTTTCTCTTGGATTATATCCATTGCCTTTCCCTGGAGGCAAAATATCCAAACTTTATGCTGTGATGATATGAATTGTTGAATATTCAGTGTTATTGTTAGAGTCAGATGCATTTCAGAAGAATTCCTGATTGTCTGTTGAATTTGTCTCCTTGCTTTGGAAGCAGGGAAAGTGTTGCCAGTTTGATCCACCCACCAAAAAGAAGCAGCCAGCTCCTCTCCCCCCTGCCATGCTCTGCCCTGCAGTGACTTCAGACAGCATTGGAATTTTTCCCTGTTCTTCTCTGGACTGATTGCTCTTACTTTAGGTGCAAAATGGATTGTGGAACTTCCTGTACTCATTCATGTATGGGTAGATTTTTTCAGTGAGATGTTTGTGTTCACCTGGGCTGTGGGATTTTCCATGGCAATTGCTTCTCCTGCTGGCTGAAGGATTTCCTCTCATCCACTGTGACCAGCTGAAATTCACAGCTAAAATGTCCTCATTTTTCCTTTTGGATTTGGCGAGTCTTTGCTGACAGCTTGGGAACAGTGGATTACAACAATGAGATTTTTAATATTTCAGCATCTTCCTTACACTGAGATTTATTTAGTGCATCCTTCTCCTGAGCTGGGCAAGGGGAGATCTTTGCAGTACAGTTCATTTTCTGAAATTTCTCCTCTGGTACAATTTCTTTGACACAAAGAAAGGTGGTTGCAGATTCTTTGTGTCCCCTGGTGTGTTCTCCCCATTCCCTGTCTGTGTTAAACTGCCTCCTGTGCAGTCCAGGCCAGTTCTCTAAACAAGACCAGTGCAATTGGTTTGTTTTGGGTTTTTTTTTTTGGAAGTAACACACTTCAGCGTGCCTGCTCTCTCTGCCAAAACATCCCCTACAATAAGGCAATAAATCAAAAATTTTGGGTTTTTTTTTTTTTTGCAAAATGTTGAAACCAAATTGAACTGAAGTTCTGGCAGGAGGAACATCTGTACCTGGGTTCTCTAAACCAGGTCTAAGCTTTTGAGAGCTGCCAAGCCAAGGCCACCTTCTGGGGCTGCTGGGATTTGTGGTGAGCTCGTCCTGCAGGGTCACACCATGGTACTGCTTCGTGTGTTTACAGCAGAATCTGCTCTCATCTCTCCAGGTGTGAAAGCAAGGCGGTTACTGCCTCTGCACCCAGGAGATCTCACTTCTATTCTGGATTTTCTGAGGAGAAAATGAGCATAGTTGTGCTTTTAAACGTCCTTACAAACAAAAGAATTTCAGGTCAGAGCAGAAGGAAACCCTCAGCTGTAGGGTTCTGATTTTGCCCTTTCAAGTCAGTGTTTTTATAGAAGAATTTGGGTTTCCAGAAAAGACATCCCTGTAGGAAATATTTGAAGGTCCCACTTTAAATTATTCCCTGTAACTGCAGACTCCACCCTACAGTGAGAACTTGAGGCATAGGGTGCTTTGCAATGGTGGAGTTAAAAACTTCTAGCACTAGGGAAAGTTATTAGGTGTATTCTAGGCAGTATCTGGACTGCTGAAGAGTATTTTAAAAAGAAAATAAAATGGAAATGGGGTACAAAAACCCAGGAGAGATGAGTCTGTGAATGTTTGATCTGATCTCTCAAATCCTTGCATTTCTTGTGCGCTGTAAAAAATGAGATCTGCAGTGCAGGTGGCCCTGTGTGCCACCAGCTCCTGAATATTTCTCATTTATTGTTCCTTCTCTGCTGGGGCTGGGAATGGCTGTGACGAGTCTCTGCTTTACTGGAGTTGTTTGAATTTGCAGATTGGGGGTGTCAGTGAGGGGTTTGTCCCTGGGATGTGGGAGAGGGGCAGGGAGGAGGAGCAGCCCTGCCATGTCTGGTACAGCAATGTTTAAAGCACAAGTCTTTTACATTTCTACAGTGGAGACTGTTAAGGAGTTCTGGCATTTGTCTTTTTAATTTGCAATCTTATGTTAATAAACTATTAGCCTTTTTAGTTCCATAATTAAAAATAAAACTCTTACATGTTTTGATTGGCTTCTTGTCGCACTCCTGTTGCAAAATCGATCCAAAGGAGCTTTTTTTCTTTTGTTTTTAATTATGATTTCAGTGAGCTGAGCGTTATCACACAATGAAATCACTGGGAGCCAGGTCACTGTGGTGAAAGTTAGCACGAGGCTCTTTTGTAATCAGCCCTGAGTCATGTCTGGACATTCAGTGCTCGGTTTTGTACAGTACCAAGTGTCCCAACCTCCCTTTTTTTAAGGAAAGGTGAAGAATGGACTGTGCTTGGGGCTTGCTGGGTTTGGTATGTGAAATAACCCAATTTTTGTCCTCTCCCCTCCTTTAATGTCCATTTAGTCTTGCTTCATAACTATTTAGAAATAAATGAGGCAATTTTTAAATGTTGAACAGTAAGGGGTTACAGCACAGTGAGTTTGGGCTCAGGGTATCTGCGCCATCTTAAGAAACCAATTCCCTTTATGTTGGGAAGGTCTTTGTGGAGGAACAGATCCTGCTTGTTCCAATGACTGGAACTCAGATTTCCCCAAGTGATGGGTGCTGCTGGAAGCCCCTTACTCTGTAAATGACAAATAAAAGCTCTGGGGAAGGTGTTTGTCCAAACCCTGCTGCAACTCAGGCCCAAATCTTTCCAGGCTATCTTTATAAAAAACCCAGCCCAAACCCAACCAAGCCAATTAATTGGTTAATTTCTAATAATTCTCATTGAGAATAAATTAGTCTGTGTCCTGAAAATATGTGCTAGGGCCACATCTACCTGAAAGGGGAATGGTTTGTGCAGGTGAGCTGGGATGGAGGTGACAGTGACACAGGAGCAGGGCTGGGCAGGGGAACTGGTGTCCCTTTGGGCAGAGGGACATGGGTTCAGTGTCACTGGTGTCCCTTGGGGCACAGGGACATGGGATCAGTGTCACTGGTGTCCCTTTGGGCTGAGAGACATGGGATCAGTGTCACTGGTGTCCCTTTGGGCACAGGGACATGGGATCAGTGTCACTGGTGTCCCTTGGGGCTGAGAGACATGGGATCAGTGTCACTGGTGTCCCTTTGGGCACAGGGACATGGGATCAGTGTCACTGGTGTCCCTTGGGGCAGAGGGACATGGAATCAGTGTCACTGGTGTCCCTTGGGGCTGAGGGACATGGAATCAGTGTCACTGGTGTCCCTTTGGGCACAGGGACATGGGTTCAGTGTCACTGGTGTCCCTTGGGGCAGAGGGACATGGGATCAGTGTCACTGGTGTCCCTTGGGGCAGAGGCTGTGTCCTGGGTCTCGGTCTCACACACATGTGCTCGGGTCTGTCCCTCCTCTGTCCCTGCTCTATCCCGGCCCTATCCCTGCTCTATCCTGAGTCTATCCCGAGTCTATCCCGTGTCTATCCCCGCTCTATCCCGAGTCTATCCTCGCTCTATCCCCGCTCTATCCCGAGTCTATCCCGTGTCTATCCCCGCTCTATCCCGAGTCTATCCCCGCTCTATCCCGGCTCTATCCCGTGTCTATCCCCGCTCTATCCCGGCCCTATCCCGGCTCTATCCCGTGTCTATCCCGGCTCTGTCCTCGCTGCAGCGCTGCCCTCCGGCCGCCAGGGGGCGCGGCTCCGGGGCCGCGGCGGCGCAGGCGGAAGCGGAAGCAGAAGCGCCTCTGGCTCCTCTTCCGGGCGGGCGGCGCGGCGGCGGCAGCGGGTGAGACACCGGGAGCCGCCATCCGCGGCCATCGGGGCCATCTGCGGCCATCTCCGGGCGGCGGGGCCTCCGCGGGGCAGCGGCGGGGATCGGGAAGGGGCTTGGGTGGTCGGGAGCCCGCTCGGGGCTGCGGGACAGGGAGAGCTCGGGTTCCGGGAGGAGCTCGGCCTCCTCCGGCTGCGCTTCCCTGGTGCATTACGGAGTTAGCGCAGCCCAGCCCGCATGGGAGGTGCCAGGGTGTGCACTCAGAAACTCGAGAGTTGAGCAAAACTAGCCTTTAATTTAATTTATCTTTGATTTAATTTATCCTTTGCTGTCAGTATCAATGGTGCCCTGACAGGCAGTCCTGTAGCGCAGTTGCTAAAGTTTAGGAAAGGCCGGAATTATCTTGGATTTGCAGGTGTGTTACCTGCACGCTGTGGTGAGGAGCGTTACTGGAGGTGCTGGTGCAGCCCAGAATACACATTTTTATAGATTGGTGTAAATCTGTACCAATCTATAAAAGATGAGCGGTGTGACTGCAGGGCAGCATCCAGCTGTCCTGAGCGCTGGGAACAGGGAGCTTTGCAAGAACGGTCTGATGTGCACGTGTGTCAGTCACAGGGACGCTGTCAGTCAGGGCAGGGGCTTCAATTTACTTGGAGTCCGGGATATCAGGGTTTGTGATCAGTAGTGGCATTAAAAACAGTTGAAATTTATTTTTATGCAGCAGGAGACTCTGTGGGCCTGGGTGATAAAGTGTAGTGTGCGTGCTGTGAGCACCTCTCCAACTGCTGTCGGGTTTGGTTTTTTTTTGTGCAGCCAAAATGAAGTTCAACCCTTTTGTGACCTCGGACCGCAGCAAGAACCGCAAACGGCACTTCAATGCCCCCTCCCACATCCGCAGGAAAATCATGTCCTCGCCCCTGTCCAAGGAGCTGCGGCAGAAGTACAACGTGCGCTCCATGCCCATCCGCAAGGACGACGAGGTCCAGGTACTGCCCTGCCACACCTCAGCTTCTTCTGGGGGGTTTCAGGGCTGGGAAGGGGCTGAGGGAGCTGAGAAGGGGCTCAGCCTGGAGAAAAGGAGGCTCAGAGGGGCTCCTGTGGCTCTGCACAACTCCTGACAGGAGGGGACAGCCGGGGGAACAGGGACAGGAGGAGAGGGAACGGCCTCAGGCTGGATCAGAGGAGGCTCAGGGTGGACACCAGCAGGAATTTCCCCATGGAAAGGGGGCTCAGGGCAGGCTCAGGGTGGACACCAGCAGGAATTTCTCCATGGAAAGGGGGCTCAGGCCCTGGAACTGCCCAGGGAGGATTGGAGAGCCCATCCCTGGAGGTGGCACTCAGTGCTCCAGGGACAAGGTGGGAATGGGGCATAATTTGGGTTTGATGCTCTTGGAAGTGTTTTTCCAAGCCAGCTGATTCTGGGATTCTGTTTTCATGTGCAGCCTGTGGAAAAGGGAAGAATGAGACAAACTGATATTGGTGCTGGAGCTTTGCTTTCGGCATGGCAGAAATAATCTAAGTTAATCAAGTCACGACCTGGACTGCCAAGTGTTTCTTAAATTCATTTCATTTAAATTCATTTTAAATTCACTTCAGTGATAAGGATGATACAGGTGTGCTGGCAATTCTGCTGCACTTCAGCTACATGCACTGATCATTGTGCTGAACTGAAAACTTTCAACCATAAAGCACAAAGCAAAGAATTGTTTATTTTTTGTAGGCTGTTTGCTGCCTGTGGCATTTAAAAGATTGGATTAGAAATGAGTCCCAGCTAAGTGGCTTTTTACATAAAGCACAATGATAGGTGAAAAATTAGGGTAAAAACTGTTAAAAATTGAAATCTGGCTGCATAGCTGCAGAGTGTGGTGGTGTTCACAGGGGTCCCAGGATGAGGGAAGAGATGAGAATCTTGACTCCATGATTCAGAAGGCTGATTTATTATTTTATGAAATATATTAAAAGAATATTATATATTAAAACTACACTAAAGAATAAAAGAAGGGATTTTATCAGAAGGCTAGCAAGGAATAGACTGGACTGTGATTGGCCATTAATTAGAAACAACCACATGAGACCAATCCCAGATGCACCTGTTCCATTCCACAGCAGCAGATAATCAACGTTTACATTTTGTTCCTGAGGCCTCTCAGCTTCTTGGGAGAAAAGATCCTAACCAAAGGATTTTTCATAAAATATGTCTGCCAACAGAGCTCTCCCATTAGGGTTTACTGCAAAGAAAATGTGGGAGAAGCACAATCCTGCTCCATTAAATGCTCTGTGTTAGTAATGCTGAAATTGTGGGGTCACTCATGAGTTTGTGGGTCCTTGGATCCTGTGCAGCTCAGCTGGTTTGTGGGACGGGCTGGCTGTTGAGGGCTGCTCCTGGAGCTGTGTGTGTGCTGTGTGCAGGTGGTGAGAGGACACTACAAGGGCCAGCAGATCGGGAAGGTGGTGCAGGTGTACAGGAAGAAATACGTGATCTACATCGAGCGCGTGCAGCGCGAGAAGGCCAACGGCACCACCGTGCACGTGGGCATCCACCCCAGCAAGGTACGGCCACTGGGGCTGCTCTGGGACCCCTGGGACTTGGTACCAAGTGGGGGGAATGCCCCTGGAAGCTGCTCCACCTGCACATCCCCAGCCTGTGCTTGGAAGCTCAATCGTTGTTTAGTTTTGCTTTTGTTTTTTGCCTTTGCTTTAACCCCACTCTGATTCAGGGGAAAACTACAGCTAAAGAAAATTTAAATGTTAGTTTTACTACTAATTCTCATGTGCAAACAACTCTCCTACCTCTGCAGTGTTATTTTAATAAGGTTTATAATATGAATACTTTAAATTTAACCATTTTCAAAAAATTAATTTAAGTCTGTTAATATAGTTTTAATAAGTATAACATGCTGCACATCCCACTCTTAGCACTAAAATAAGAATAAAATCTCAGTCTTTGTTCCAGAACATACAGAAAAGTGCTTCTAGTAGGAATATATTAATCTGGGCATAGTTGTTACAAAATCTGTGAATGCAGAATGTTTGCCAGTATAAAAAGTAATCACTTGGTTTTGCTTCTGCCTCTTGCACGATGGTCAATGTCAGTGCAGGCTGGGATATAAACACAGGCTGGGGATTCTCAGATGGAGCAGCCCTGGAGAAGGATCTGGGGGTGCTGGTGGCCAAGAGCTGGACCTGCCCTGGCCCCCAGGAGCCCCCCATGCCCTGGGCTGGTCCCCATGGGCAGCAGGAAGGGGCTGGGATTGGGCCCCCTCAGATGAGACCCCAGCCCAGGCAGGACCTGGAGCTGCTGGAGAGATCCAGAGGAGGCACCAGGGGATCAGAGGGATGGAGCTGGGAG